CCCCCCCCCCCCCCCCCAAAAAAAAGGTGAGGAAGGCGAATCAAGTGTTTGCACGTTTAGTAACCCGCCTTCGATATCATCTGGGTTGGCCCTGATAGGCAGCGTCGGAAGCCTGTCACGCAAATGACTGATAACAAAGTACCGGTATTGATTCTATGGTAGAGTGTGATTATAAAGTGGGCTAAAGACGGGTGGGCAAGATCTTCGCCTATCTGCTGGGACATGCATCATCAACATCATCATCATCAAGTGCCAGATCTGTGGCAGACATTGGCGATCGTGGTTCTCCTTTCATTCCTCAGCCCGGATGCTCTTAGAAAAGATATGTTACCCTGATCTTTCCCTGTTACCCATTCGTTTAGGTTCTCTAAGTAGGTTGCTCTGGGCCAACCCCTACCTCGTTTGCCTTCAATTTTGCTTGCGAGAGCTAGATTTGTTCAAGACCTTTTATGTCTACTCAGGTGTCCCCCCAATAAAGCCTTTTTTTCTCTTTTCCTGATTGTTTTTTAACAGTGAGCGTCTCCCGTGGGCCTCATCAAGTACTACATCATCAACTACATGCTATAATCCTCTTTAAACCGAGGTGGGCTGTGGGTGGTTGACAGGTGCTCTGGTGTGGTTTGCTTCTTCTTTCGTATGGAACATCTATCGTCCTTCTCTCCCCTTCTTCTTTTTTATGTATGTTACTCTCTTGTGACACCTCTAATTTTCTGGCGCTCATATGACCTTATGCATTTGCGAGCGCCGTAAAACCTCTACTAAAGCTTTAAAAAAACCTAGGTTGGCTTAGATAGGCAGTAGGCAGGGTCTATGTAACCTGTCTCCGATATCATCTAAATTATGTGTCGATGGAGTCTAAAGTCAAGCTACAATCATTGCAGACTTTCAGCACTCCCCAGTCCACCGGCGTCTGCAATGTAGTAGTAGTTTCTCTTATTCCATACCCCCCGTTTATTATTTTCCAGCTTGCCACTACCGTCGATCACGTGAAACATGATTACATCTAGATATCTGAATGAAACTACTTTTTTTGTATGGCAAATTACCCTCAGTCTCAGTACTGGTTCTGGGTTGGCCACTTCAATTTTACTTTTGTACGTTGGTTTATATTGTTTTAATGAAACCGGTTTGTTCCTAAATGGGGAAAGTGGTCACAGTTACTTACTAAAACCACAAAATTTTCATGATCTCTTGTTCTTTCATTCACTGAAGGAGAAATAAAACAGATATGTTCCTACTACTACAAGTACAGGGGTATGAGGTTGAATGTGCCACCCCCACCCCCCACCCCCGTTTTACTCCA